ATATATATATATATATATATGTTCAAAATATATGTTATTGTGTCCAACTAGATCCAATGGTAAAAAAACAGTTCTGAATAGATAGTGCATGATAAAATTCTGAGAAATAAAACAAAAAGTGGTTCCCATTTGCAAATGACTTTATTTGGGGTCAAATTAATGAAAGCAAGATGTTGTGAAAACGAACCATTCAACCTTTCCAATCACTAAACTTAGTTTAAAGGTCTGGCATGACCTATATGAAGTTCAGTTCTGTTCAGCTTTGATGGTTTGATCACTGCAGGATGCAGCTTCATTTCCAGCAAGTCCAAATCTGAGGGAGAGATTTTACCATCCTGGGAGCTCAGATCAGATCAGATCAGAGAATGCTCCAGTTAGAAAGCGGCTTCACGGTACGACTCAGCCAGCCTTAACGGATCAGCCTAAATGGTGAAGCATTTTGTGCACGCAGTTGGTGATGAAGCATGGTTATCTATAGCAATCTATAATTTTTTTTTTAAATCAGTGATTTGGCAAATATTGTATATTTTTTCTGTAACAAAAAAAAAAAGATAAAATGCATTCAGGTTATATTTTGGCATTAACATCATCACATATGAAGGTACTTAATGTTAGAACAAAATATGTTGCACATATACTTGTACATCTCAAAATATTAGAACATCATGAAAGAAGTGTAGTAATACTAAAGAAAGTGACATAATAATATATTCTAGACTCATAACACATAAAGTGAAGTATATAAAGCCTCTTTTTGTTTTCATTTTGATGATAACAGCTTATAGCTTCTGAAAATCAGAAATTTAGTGTCTCAAAATATTAGAACATCTACGATGGTTTAAAAAAGCATTTACAATAAAAATATGTCCAGCTTCTGAAAAGTACTATAATTTACACACTCAATGCTTAACTGAAGTTCCTTTACCAAAAATTACTGCATCAATGCAGCATGGCATGTATCAAAACATCAGTGGTGAGGTGCTCTTGAAGCCCAGATTGCTTTGATAGCAGCCTTCAGCTCATATGTATTTTGGAGTCTGTGTTTCTCATCCTCCTCTTGACTGCTATGAGGTTCAGGTCAGGTGAGTTGGCTGGCCAGTCAAGCACAGTAATATCATAGTCAGCAAACCCTTTTGGTAGTCGTTTAGGCAATGCGGGCAGGTGCTGAGTCCTGCTGGAAAAGAAAATTGGCTTCTCCATTGAGCTCGTCAGCAGATGGAGGCATAAAGTGCTCTAAAATCTCTTGGTAGACGCTGTGTTGACTTTGGACTTGATAAAACACAGTGGACCAACGACAGCCAACAACATGGCACCACAAATCGTCACAGATTGCAGAAACTTTACACTGGACCTCCAACATCTGGATTTGGTGCCTCTTCACTCTTCCTCCAGACTCTAGGATAGTGATTTTTCAACGAAATTCAAAATTTACTTAATCTGAAAAGAGGGTTGAAGACTTTGGACTATTGAGCTACAGTCCACTTATTTTACTCCTTTACACAGGTAAGATCTTCTGACGTCGTCTCTCGTTCAGGAGTGGCTTGATGTTAGGAATAAGACAGTTGTAGCTCTTTGGTGGCTCTTGATGCACTGACACCAGCCTCAGTCCACTCCTTGTGAAGTTCTACCAAGTTCTTGAAAAGATGTTTTGGTTGTGACTTTGTCCTACCACACTATAGCTATAGGCCAGCCAGTCAGCTATAAGTCATAATCATCAAAATTACAACAAAAAAAAGGCTTGAAATACTTCACTTTACATGTAATGACTCTAGAATATATTAAATTTTTACTTTCTTGAATAACTGACGAAGGATATTGAACTTTTTTACAATGTTCTAATTTTTTCTAAGGCACTAGTTAATTACCACCAGCCTTCAATATCTCATAATCCTACAGACAAACTGGGAGCTGGGTGGAGGTAAGCAGGCAAATGGAGAAGGTGGTGGGTGCTTGCAGTGGTGGGTGCTTGCAGTGGTGGGTGGGAGGGAGGGGGCACTGACCTTGAAACTACAGAGCTGCATCAGCATAATGACCAGTCAACCCAAAGCAGACCAAAACCTGAGGGAAGTGGGAGGAGAAGGGTGGTGTGTTACAAACCACAGAAACAAAAAGCAAAGGCAGTGAATGTTGCAGGTGAAAGTCAAGTATGGCATTTGTGCATTCTCATATCAGAAGGGGGGAAAAAACATCATCATCATCATCATCATCATCATCATCATCATCATCATTATCTTCCTCCTTTCATACTTCATCCTTGTCTGATAAAAATATGAATAATTGAGAGTGAGCAGAAGCACAGATGGACAAATGAAAGGAAACACAGAGACAAAGACATGATGACCTCCTCACAGATTAGCGGGGAACACAGCAGTCAACACACACAACAGCACAGCATCTCAGAATGTCTAACCTAACATGTGTTCAACACAGCAACAAAAATAACATCTTATCAGTTTTCATGTGCAGCTATGAATGATCAAATGGTCTGTATTGTTGGAGTGGAAAGGAAAGCCTGCAGAGCAAGAAAATAGCAGGAAATCTTGTTTGATGACTCTTGTTTCTAGGCTGCATTCACTCTAGTAGTCATCTATACTACACCGGCTGTTCATAGGAAGACTTTAAACCCTTAACTAACTACGTATCAAACGACTATGTAAAAACAATGTGAAACGGTCACACTTGCTGACTAACATAAAGAGAATAATAACCTAAATCAATGAAATCAGGGTTAGGTGCAGAGGGAACAAGAGGGTTGGTGAATCAGGGCAAAGCAAACTATCTAATTACGCAAATTATTTTTATTTATTTATTTTTTTAAATGAATGTCTTTCTCCAAGATTGCCACCTTCATATTTAAGAATGAATAGAGTAAGTACCTTCCAAATGTAAACAGATTCTGCAACATTGTACTTAACCGGTCATACACAACTAGAAATCAAAATTGTGTTTTCTCCCGTGTTTTCCCAACCACTAAGTGGGCAGACTGCCTACTGCCCTCAACAATGCTCTTCACAACTATCACTGAACAGGACTTCTCCTACACCTTTATTCCTGTACTTACTTACATCTACCAGGCTGCCACTTCACCCTTTTAAGGTCAAGCCTCACTTTCCGTACTATCAGTGCTGCTGGAAAGCTGCTATTAATATCATAAAAGACTACTTCGTACTGCTGCTTCATATTAAAACGATTACAGCAAGTAAACTACAGGAATTTCCTTTGCTGTGAGGTGGCTACATGGAGTGAACTCTGGCTTTTATATGCTACATAGACAGGATAGAGGGTTGTCAAGCATACATTGGGAGTTTAACTTGTTTTTGCTCATGACATTAAATGATACAGCTTGAATCTGACCCTTTTCTAATTTCTGTTCCCAAACCTGAAACAATAAAATAATGTTTAGTTAGTGTACTATGACATCTAGGACAGTTTGAAACTGAATTCCAAACTGAACAGAAATATAAATGCAAGGAACATTCAACATTACATCATCCATATTTTCTTACTGGCCCTTCTGTATTACTGTAAAAGAGTGACTCATAATTATCTAACTAACACAGGAGATTAGAGTATAAATGTACTGACAATGATGGGTGCAAAATGTGACATATATATGCAAATAATTAAGAGCACAGGCACGTGCAAATACTACATCAACTCATGTTTCACAGTCACGTTCAAATCCCTACAGTCCTCATTAGTTCCATAGTAGCATATTAGTATGGTGCCCTAGCAGTCACTGCCATAGCAAGCTACACTAACACACATGCATAGTAATCTCCAGGGAAATATCCTCACTTGTCCTTCCTATACTTCCGTAATTAACTGGCATAATTGCATTCAAGATGACATGATTATCAGTTCAGTGAAGCCAGTAAAGCAGGCAGTGTGGCCAAGACTGGAAGCCTCTACTGAAATGAACTGATCCAGCACTATGATTCAGCAATGATCTTGCTGACTACTGTAAGGTCATCGTTCTTTGGTTTATTGTTTACCTGCAGTAAGGATGAGTAATCATGGCTTTGATCTAATCATTGCTGAACCCATGATTATACAGCTGCTCTATTTTCCACATCTGGTGAAAGCTGATATTCACATCAAATGCTGATGTTTTTCATGAAAAAGGTACTGAAAAGTGTATTGTATTGCGAGTACTGACCTTTCTATCACAAGGTAAATGGATCATTTAGTAGTGTTGTTGTTTTACAGTGACCAGTGGTGGCAGACACTCAATACATGATACTGAGCATCTAGAATGCCCTTCTGCACTTGACTTTAAAAAAAAAAAAAAACAAGGCTCCAAGACAGATATTATATACAGATATATTAACACTGGCAACACACACCTGTCCATTTCACTTTACACAGTATCCTGTCTTTACAACTCTCTTTCTGAGGCTCCAACATTCCTGCACTCCATTGGGAGGAGACACCTGTGCGCTTAAAAATCTGTCAACAAGCAACGCCTTTGTCACTTCACGGCAGTGTATTTGCTTATGCACCTCAAGGACCGCTGCTGAATTATTTATTTATTTATTTATTTTTTTTTACAAGGAGACCAGGAAGGCGAGCTTCATCTTAATTCTTCAAAAATTAAAGATGTATTATTTTGCACTACACTTTATCTCTAAGTCAGATAACAAAATTGTGAGTAAAGCTTGTCATCTTTGCGCATCCCTGAAAATGCCATCCCAGTGATTACATCATACAATAACATTAAAGCAAATACGATCACTTGATAGTAACACAAAAAGAAACCCTGAAATATTGTGAAATAAACGATGTTTGGGAGATCCATGGGATCACAACAGGCACTGTAGAGTGGTCCAATCCACACTTGAGGTTTGTTACAAATCAGTACAACATTTGGGTATTTTCAGCATACTGCGGATATTTTTCTTTTTTTTCTTTCTGTCTTTTTTTTTTTTTTTTAATTTGCAGACTACATAGAGCATTCAACATTTTGCCCAAATCAGTATGTTCTGCTAGCAGGTGGTTTTGAACACAGCCATGGAAACCTGGTAGGACATGCTTTGCTAGAGGTAAAAAAATAAATAAATTAATTAAAAAAACATTTTAAAAAAGTGGCCGTGCTTTACCGCCATTGCTACCACTCTGTCCTCACAGTCAACTGTATTTTTTGCAATTGTGTCCCATTTATTAGGTACCTTGCTGTGTGGTGGGTAAAATGATTATCTTTAAAATGTAAACCTTCATAGAGAGAAAGTGTGTTGCTTTGAAACTGAACTAATTCTTTATGGGTCAGCTTTCTTCAAAGACAGCAAACAAGGGGCTTGTTAGCAACACATACAGCCTCCAGCACTACATGAAACCTCCACATAAAGGACATACATTTATGAAAAGAAATGTGGTTGCATATAAAGAGCTCTCAGAATCACTCTTCACAAGCAGATCAGTCACAGTAGGAAGAGGTGGGAGTTTAAAGCTGGGTGGCATCATTGTTTACAACAAAGCAACAACTACCACAGTCGAGTGTGAAATATATGTAGAAAGGCCTTATGGCAATTCGGTGCTGGCAGAAAAAAACTGTTGCTGTATAATAATTCAGTATGAAATGATCTCATACAAAAGAGCAACAGCTGATTAAAAAAATGTTTTTCACATGACATAAGCATCTCAACAGTTCATTTTCTTAATCTAATATTATTTTTCATAAACAACAGAGACATTCTGATCCATCAAATAAGCACAATTAGTTGTTATTAGTTGTTATTGTAAGTTTTTGGTCACATATTTCTTTGTAGCAATGCAAGCCAGACAATCAACTGGTACGAACTAAGAATCTGAGAAGCTTCATGTGACTGATGAATACAAACTAAAATAAAGACTATACGAAAGCCTGAATACTGAAAAATAACACCAGTGAAATTTTACTATTTCTCATTTGTCATTTGCCATTAAAGCTATTCATTTTTCAAAACAAATACTTCACTTGTTTTTACCATAACTACCCAGCTGAATCCACCTAACAAGTCCCAGTAGAGGCTAAAGCCTTAGTGTTGACTGTAGATAGGGTTGAAAACAAACAACGTAATCACAAGCTAGCTACTCTTACAACCATGTCTAGTGGGGCTGACATTGTACTAGTTTTACCCAAGGGTGACTCTAAAAACTTTTTACATCCACTAATCAGTGAGCAACCCTGATTTGAGAGTACAGTCGTGATTCGATAATCCAACACTAAATGTAAGACCTTCTTTTATGTCAGATAGCAAGGCTGTCGGACTGTCAAGACAGAGGTTGAGATACAAGGAGGGCTTGATGCTTGAACGATAACTTGTTGTTAATATTTATTGTTTATAGTTGCTATAATACCTAGTGTTATTTTAGAACACTACGCATCGCTGGATTTCACGCCTAATTGACCAGTGTGCTTATGCACAGGCCGTCGGCTGACATCAAAGGTAAGTAGGGGTACGTTCAGACAGTGTTCCGGCCACTTCCACCGCATCGAAGCACACCCCTGGGGTGGAAGTGGCTGGAACGCACAGGCAGTACTTAGCTGCTGATTCCATTTTAGGATAGCGGTCTGTTTCCACCATCAGTGGCGGTGGAAGCGGGCGATAAGATATGCTCCACCATTACCACCCATGTTTACTTCCGCAAACACTGAGCACACTCGCTGCATGTGACGTCGTTGTGTCCACTTCTGCACATGCGGGACACTTTTGGGTCGTATGAAGTTCACACATGAGATCACATAAAAGTCACATTTAATTGGAAATGTGAATGAACTTGCAAAAAAATCGGATTTCACAAAAAGATCTGAATTGAGCATTAAGTCCTGCAGTTTGAACGTAGCCAATTTGTCTGATTGATACATCAGATAATATCCTTATTTGTGACATAAAATGTCATGTCGGAGTTGGAATCCAAGGCTGTCGGTATGTAAGGCTATTTTTTATGGGTTCCCGTTCGTTTTCATAAAAACCTGTTGGATAGCAAGGTTTTCAGATTGTTAAAGGTTGGAATGTCAAGTCACAACTGTATTTTGATTACAAACGCC